AACACTACCTACTTCTTCGTAAGTTAATGATGGCATCCCCCCTCAGCTGTATCCAGGACTATCTTATGGATCATTTACTGGACTTTTCTGCACTAGGCATACACTCTTACTCCAAAACAGGAGAATGAGAACTTCTCAGAGACTCATTGGTCAATGATCTCAGCCTGGTCCCCTAAGAAAAACAGTGACTGTACCAACTTACTGACTGTAAAGTGCCAGACACAGGACTAATGCTCGACCTCCAGCATTGCTTTATCCCTACACTGTAGATAGGTAACCTGAGATTAACTCAAGGGCTAATAGAAGGCCCAGCTGGCTAACTGAGCCCCTCACTCTACCACACTGTAACATGTTCCTCAGGTCAGAAGCATCCATTTAGTTCTTGCCAGACCCCAAGTGGAAGGCTTGGAGAACAGATCTGAAATATTTGAAAAGTTGTTCTTAAATATGGAATATATCTAGGAAAAAGGCAAAAATTAAATGCAGTAAGATTTGTTATCTTCAGTCCATCTTTAGGGAAGTGCCTGCTTTATTCATGTTTTAGTAAAGTGTATTGACCCAGGTTTGATTCCTAGCACCCACATGGAGGCTCACAACCTCTGCAACTCGAGTTCAGAGAATCTGACTCCCTCTTCTAGCCTCCAAAGGTACTGCATTCCCATGGTGCACAGATATATATTCAGGCAGAAATGCTCAAACATATAAAATAAAAATAACTAAATCTTAAAACAACAACAACAACAAAACACACCCTTTCCATTTGCCAGTTTGTGTGCACATACATCCAGTTTTTTTTTTACATCCAGTTCCCAAATGAGACATAGTTACTCATCTTTTAAACCTTCACAGCTCACACAGGCCCTGACACATGGGAGGCACTTGATAAATACTTGATCTTCAGAGCACAACCATTCATGCATCCATGATCCTTCTATTGTACAGGAAGCTGACATTCAGCTTCTGTACCCTATGTCTCTTCTGCAGAACACACAATCCCACAGTCAGCTTTATGACAAGTGAAAAACAGTTCTTGTTCAATTTACAAATCAAGATGAGTCTGTCAGGTGGTTCAGTCAGAAATAAAATACCATGAGTTATTTGCCTGGATACCATTTCCTCGTTATATTTTCCTTAGCCAAGGATTCATTTTACTTCCTGTCAGCTGAGCCCTGGTTTTTGATGCTAGACAATTATTTCCTTCGTTTTTGTCACATTTAAAAGCTGTATGTTGTGACTGAAGGTCTTCTATCTTTTCTATCACTATGCTTTAGCTGTTTCATCCTCTGACAGCAGTAACTTGGTTTCTGAGTGTCTGGTTACAATAACCACAAAGGATTGTATTGATTGGAGGGTATTGGCCACCACTACATGATGCTGATAAACTTCCAAGGCATTCTGAGCATGATTTATTATGATGGCAGGGCCAGTTTCCAGCTTTAAGGAAACTATAAATGCTTTGGGAGCCTAATTTTTAACCAGAGGAGAAAGCATTTTTGGCACCATCCGCACTGTTATCTGCAGTGGGCCACCAGATGAGTGGATCTTGTGTTTAGGCGTTTCAGAAACAGGAATATAGAAATCTGATGCTTCCGCAACCAGGTAAAACATTGCAGCACAGCCTAGTGGTTTGAGAGCTACAGCATGCAGCAGAGGCAGGTAGTCTGCCAAAGTGGTGAACTCTATAGCCACGAAGGTACTGGCAGCAGCTCCCTCTTGGTACCTCTGCAAGACTCCAGCAAAGCCCAGGTTTGCATTCTCTTCTAGCTCCAGACTCAGCACCACCCCACCCCCACCCCACATGGGTGCATGCACTCCCTGACTAGGCTACGCCAGAAGACCATAAGGCCCATAGCCAGGCCTGGAGCAGGAAACGATGGGCATAGGGGAAGGCCGAGCTTGCTTGGTACAAGAACAGGACCCAGTAACCCACAGCCAGAAGACCTTGGCCGACTCTACCTGCTGCACTGCTGAAGTTGTTCAGAAAGCTCATGGCTCACGCTTCCAGAGGGACACTGGTGCCTCCTGACTTGACTGCACCATCCACTCGCCCTGCGTGCCTAGCTTGGCTGCAAAGCCAGTTGTAATATCTGCCCTGCGAGCACACCCTTAGGCCGTGACAATACGGCAACGAGGTCTTTTTCCGACATCTGACGAATTTTTTTTTTCTAGACAAGGTTTCTCTGTGAAACAGTCCTGGCTGTCCTGGAACTCACTCAGTACACCAGGCTGGCCTCAATCCTACAGAAATCAGCTTGCCTCTGCCTCCCAAGCGCTGGAATTAAAGGCATGCGTGACACCAACACCTGCATGCTGATTTTTTTTTTTTCTAGACAGGGTTTCTCTGTATTGTTTTGGTGCCTGTCCTGGAACTAACTCTTGTAGACAAGGCTGGTCTCGAACTCACAGAGATCCACCTGCCTTTGCCTCCTAAGTGCTGGGATTAAAGGTGCTTGCCACCAACGCCCAGGTAAAACTGTACAGTAGTTTATGTGAGAAGATTATTTGAAGCAATGTAACTCTTCACTTAAACGTACAAACACTAAAAAGGTTGCTAATTTAAATAGAAAAGAAAGAGGACACATTCATTTTTATCCTCAATCCACTAAAGTCTCCACTGCTGAGAATACTGTATGTTCTTCCAAACAGGAAGTGAAAACTGTACCGCATGCTACCCCAACTTGATAAAGAATGAGCTGCTGGACATGGCTGTGGGATGAAAGCTAGAATTGTTAGAAACACCAGGCCAATTTGTAGCTCTCTTTGCTATTCCTTCTGCCTAATTACTAATAATTTCCTCATAAGGTATTACGGAACACAAAAGGTATGGTATTACTAATCCTAGGTGAAAGCATCCTGGATATTAATCTTGTTTGTTTCTGTTTAAGTTCTCAGACTTTGTAGGGATTCATAGCCTGAAGGATCACACCAGATACTTGGCCGTCACCAGGTGGATATTGGCATCAAATCTTTGCTAATTAGCTTCTGGGTTCTCAAAGATAAAATGGCTCTTCCCACCAAAGAACATGTGATACCAGCCCTTTGGTCACAGAAGGACAAGAATTTCTACTTCTAGGCAAACTTGGATTACTTGGTGGGACTACGGACAAAATTCTGTAAATTGTAAGATAAAATTAAAATGTTGTCTAAATGTTAATGTCATGAAATAGAAGTCATTATTTCTATTGTTGCTTAAAATTCTAGTATTTGCAGACCAATATTGAAGAACATTTCCCTAAAGCCAGAAATATTGGTACCTTTTATTAACTGTATTTAGAATATATGGAATAAAACAAAACTAGTGCAGCACACTAGAATCTCAAAAGTAAAGATCTCTCCTGTTCTGGATCCCCCACACACACTCCCAAAAAAGTCACAAACAAAACTTCTCAATTTTATTTACAAATATAAAATCTACCCACAAACTATTTAAGCTATCTGGTAAAAATGAAATGCTTGAAAAGTCATAGAGAAAAGAAAAAGAATGAGGTATAAGGTGTAAGAAAGAGAGAAAGGACATTTCTAATATGTCATGTGTATAAAGTAGAATTTGAAGAAGACAGAAATTCATGGCAATGAAGACACTGCCATGGAGCTGGAGTGTTCTCTCAGGGTTGTGTGGCAGAGGTTATCCACTCCAGAATGTAACCATCAGAGAAGGATGCAGTAAGAGCTACCCCACAGTTTAGGCTCCAAAAGGGGAAGAAGTGCATCCTGTGAAGAACCTGGGGAAGGATGCTGTACTTTGCAAAGACCTGGAGGTGGGCAGAATAGCAGCCCATGTCATGTTGCTTTTCAGGCACCATGAACCTAGGAAAACAAAGCCTAGGGCCAATATCTAATTTTTAATCTATTCAATTGTTTTCACTATTTTGACGACTAGTAACATTTTGTTGTCTGAGAGCCCTTTTAGAATAGTGAGAGAGAAAAAAACTGAACTGGAAGCAGAGGGTCTCTTCAAGTAGGAGGAATGAACGAGTGCACCAAACAAATGTATACCAGAGCTTTGGCCTTATTGTTCTACCTACCAGTCTTACAAAGAAAACTACAAACTCAACATCCAGCAAGGGAGTCTGGCGTAGGTACTATCTAGTTGGAGTACACAGCTGGAAAATAACACCCAGTCTTTGAAAAATTATTGTAATTATATTGGTTACATCTATTTATATATAGTACATGTCATTCTCTATCATGAAGGTATTAGAGCATATAAAATGGTCTCATAAAAACAGTGCAAAAGCAATGAGTACAACCATGTGAAATTTCAACATAGCAGCACTAATTTGAGTGTGGGTGGCCTGTCCTATATGACTACATATTTTTACATGTTTTTATTATTATTAGAAGCAAGCTTCTTTTACATATCAATCCCAGACACTCTCCCTCTCCTTCCCTCCTCCCCTGTCCCCCCACCTGCCATCCTAACTCCTTTCTGCTTCTGAGGGAGGGTGAAGCCTTCCATGGGGGATCTTAAAGTCTGTTGTATTGTTTGGAGCAGGGCCTAGACCCTCTCCCGTGTGTCTAGGCTGAGAGAGTATCCCTCTTATGTGGAGACGGCTCCCAAAGTTCATTTGTGTACTAGGGGTAAATAGTGATCCACTACCAGAGGCCCCATAGATTTTCCATACTTCCAAACTGACTTCCTTGTTCATGGGGTCTGGATTGGTCCTATGCTGGTTTCCCAGCTATCAGTCTGGGGACCATGAGCTCCCCCTTGTTCAGGTCAGCTGTCCCTGTGGGTTTCTCCATTCTGGTCTTGACCCCTTTGCTCGTGACTCCTCCCTCTCTGCAACTGGATTCCAGAGTTCAGCTCAGTGTTTAGCTGATGACTACATTTTAAGGTCTTAGAATTTGTGATAAGGTCCTGGGCATGAGGCCTGCTGGGAGAATGGTTGATATTCCCAGTGACACTCTATTGGAGAAAACTGATTTTCCCTTTCCCAATTGGAATCGATTGAAAATAGCTTTTTTTTTTTTAATTAACGGTGTGACCCATATCCACTTCACCCTCTCATTTCTAGAAACCTGACTTGAACCTGTGTGAGACTTAAGCATGCTGCCACAGTCTCTGTTGTGGGATAACTAAGCCTCAATGGACGTGACAGCTGGCCTAGATCATTTGCAGTAGGCATTTCTTGACAACCAGCCTGAGTATGCCAGATGGCCTTGAAAACAACAGCCAAATCTGATGAGACATTATATGGAACTGTAGACAGCGACCATGTCACCTCAGCAGAGGCCAGTTCAGTGGATCCCCTCCTCTGGGACAGGGTTGCAGAGTATATAAGGCTTACCCCCTTCCTGGAATAAACCGAGATTGTTGTTTCAACTTGTTCCCAAAGCCTGTGTCTTTGGTGTTGTGCCTACTTTCCCCCACCCTCAAGGGACACCATCAGGATTCTGCAACACTCTGTGAGTCCATATGTGTATCTTTCCAGTTGTGTCTGGAAGACAGTTTCCTTGGAGTCAACCACCACCTCTGGATCATACAATTATTTTGCTTCCTCTCTCTCATAGATTCCTGAGCCGTTAAGGAGGGGTTTGATGGAGACATTCCATTTAGGATAAGTGAGAGAGCCCTCCCCATTTAGATGTTAGCTACACTAAAACAAGGAAAAGTAGAATTTTTCCTCACTCTTGGTCTTATGCTCTGCTTTCACTGCTGGTCTTTCTGTTCTTACTACTTCTCTACCTGGCTGTCTGACTCCTTCCATCCTTATTTTATTCTTCCCTCCTTCCCTTTCTTCACTTGTCCTTTACCTTTGTCCATCCCTTACTGCCCAGTCCTTTTACTTCCTCAAAGTCTTATAAAGATAACATTTTTAGGAACTGCGTCAGTTGTCTCCTTGACCTCACATTTTTCTGCACCTGGAACTGGAAAAAATAAATTACAATTAAGGTGATACACCTCCACACCACCCCAAACCACAGTATATATTTTCTGAGCTGCTAGCGTAGACTTATAGGATTTTCCTCATCAACTATAAGGTATACCATCTAACAGAATGGCATTTATTCATTATTTTTAAAGTCCAGATAGTCCACCATCTACATGACCAATGAATGAAAATTGTATCTGTTTTCCAAGTTTGAGGAGTTTGACATTTCTACATGCCTTGCTCAATGAATTTCAACTGGATTGCTTTCATAAGAAACACCATTCTTACTCCTTTTTAAATTTACCTTAAGTCACAAAGGAGAAACTCAGTCTTACTGGAAAAACTGCAGAAATTGGATCAAAATTTCTAAAATTATAGGCTAGAGTATTATCTTACTTTTCTAATACTTTCATGGACTTATGGAGACAATATACTTAAAATAGATTTGTTCAATAACAGTAAATAAGCACAAAGTCTAATTTTTAAACATTTTATTTTATTTACTTTTTTACAAGTCAGGCAAAAATATTTCACTACATTTATTGCATTTAACTTTACCAAACTACATAATGAAAGCAATTAAAGAAATCCAGACTTTACCATGTTTTAGTCCCCTGCTATTCCTGAGTGTACTGACCTACTGACTCTAAGATTATTTAATATTTTCAAGAAAATTATTTGGGGGATGCTTTATTTCCTTATCTGGATAACAGGAAAACTTCAAGCATCAAAAGGAATGGTAGAATTTGCTGGTAATTTTACTGGAGAATCTTTACTAGCTTGGTCAGTGGCATCAGAATCATCTTGATCTCTGGCTTCTGCTCGTTCTTGCTCTTCTTTCAAAGCTTCTTCATAAAGGGCAGAGATGACACTAGGTGTTGTTTTGTTTATCTTGGCCAAGAACTCCAGGACTTTCATCTTGCTTATTTCAGCATGGGCTTGGGGACCCCACAGGAACTCATAGCGTGGAGGATCACTGTTGGCCACCTGTCGGTACTCCAGGTACTTCAGCTTCACCAAATACTCGGTCAAGAGCTTCCGGGGCTCACCAAAGACACGGTGCTTCTTCCCTGGATAGATCTGCCTCTTCTTCAGGATTTCCCAGATTTCTTCCTCACTGGCACAATTGCCTTTAATGAAGATGATACCCAAGATACTCATCAGGAAACCAGTCTTTGGTAGGCCTTTGCCAGCACGAATCCTCCCATTGTTGGGAAGCTTCAGCTTGCTGATGAGATTGTATGAGGGCTCACTGGAGTTGACTTCCCTCACTTCCACAGCAAAGATTTCCTCAAGCTTCTCAGAGGTTTTCCTGAGGATCTCAGGGAAGTCTTTCTCATACTTCTTGGTGACAACCTTCAGCATTTCTTCCTTGGTAGTAAGCTGCTTCAAATTGTAGTTGTGGAGCAGGTACCGTAGGAGGATCATCACCTTTCTGTCTATCAGATCACAGTGCAGAATGATGCCGCAGGTCTTGCCCTCAAAAGGGCATTCCCTTTCCTCGAATTTCTCACTTTCCTCACTGGAACTTTCATATGATTCAGAGGAAGAAACACTCAGAGGAGTCGAGGCAGATGGTGTTGCTTTCTGAGGAGCCTCGGGAGTGGTGGAAGACTCAGCCCCAGGCTGGCTCTGGGAAGCAGCAGAGAACTCTTCTGCTGCTTCTGGTGTTTCCTCTGGTATTTCCCAAGCACGTCTACCTCTATAAGCCCGAGCCTCATCTTGGGTCTGGTGGCGTTTCTCCCAGGCAAAGAGCTTACTCCTCTGACCTCGAGGCATGATGACTCTGACTAGGGACAAGAACAGAATATGTTGAAAGGGTGCTGCTGATGAAAACACTTGTAAGAAGCAGAAGATGATGATATGAACACTTTAACCAGAGAGAGAAAAACCTGTTTGTAACTGCAGGTTTCCATGAATACAGTGCTTTAGAAACCTACTGGCCTTCTGTTCTCAACTGCCTACTCCCTAAAGAAGAAGCAGAGTAAGCTCAGGTTACAACCTATCAGTCCTGCCTATGTTGGGATTAGCTGGATGCAGCAGGCTGGCATTCATGCCTTCTAGCTCCTTGCAGTTGTGGGGAGCCTCTCAGTTTCCAGTGAGAATCTACATGCAAATTTTTAGAAATCCTAATCCTGTCCTGTACTACTTGACAATTGTCTCCCTGTGATACTCTTGTATTTGTTCTCCTCAGATATGTTTTAAATTTCCTTGTAGACAAATTAAGCCATCTCCTCTAACAAAAATCCCTTACCACTATTTCAGCTACAGCCACATAAAATGGGATTAAATGGAGGCCTGACCCATTACTACTGCACAGAAAATCTAGGCTCCTAGCAGGGGAGAAGTAACCTGATTCCTCCCATGGAGTCCTTATCTGACTTCTGACCATTCTTGGAATACTTATCTGATTAAAGGAACCATCCATTCATCCTAAGAATGTCATTTCTCTTAAGACTATTCTGTCAGTAATTAATACAATAGCCCTGCTTGTCCCCCCAAGGATTGATGGCAGGGGCAAGCTGTGAAACTCTTAACTATAGTGGGATGAATAATTCCCTCAGAACTCACTCTAAGTTCCTCTCGAAATTTCCTACAAAACATGGTATTGCCTCTTTTGAACATATAAGGATCTTTTCCTCTCAAGACAAGAGCCTCAGGTCTCCAATTGAATAGGAATAGAGGGCACATGTCTGTGGGACACCTATGCTTGCCCTTCTCAGACTCCTACATGGAAGTATCTCTGCCTAGGTTTTTCTGCATTTTCTATTGTTATTGTAGGCTTCTTTCCTCTACTAAAATGTGGCTCCACATTTTTATTGGCTGTGCCACTTTTGAGCTCCAAAAGGCATAAAGAGCATATATCAATTGCAGAATTCTTCTCATGGCTATTCCAAATTGTTAAGAGAATTTTTTCTGGGGTGTTCCACTACTGCACATATGATCCAGCTTCCTGAGATGTGATGTGAGTCCTTCTCTGAAAGTAACAGAGACTAAGAACAAGGGTATGCGTGATAGGGGAGGGAGAGAAAACTTTTATACAAACTGAACAGACACAAATTAAAATGTGAGAGGGAACTGGGACTGACATGTAAAACAATCTTGTTTCTAATTTAAATTTTTGAAAATAGAAAAAAAAGAAGTCAAAATTATCGATAGAGAAGAAATCAACAAAAAAGAAAACAATAAGACCAGCAACACACACACACACACAAAATTAAAATGGTGGTCACTGACTGTAGTTGTTGTCTAGGGTTGAAGTCTCATGAACTTTCCTCCCTCCACATTAGCACGCCTATTGGTATCTTCCTTGTCCAGCTTATGTTTGGACTATCGTCAACCCTGAAAACATGCCTGCATGCAACATTATAGAACTGATCTAGTTGTCTTTTTTATTTATTAACACACACACACACACACACACACACACACACACACACACCACTACTACCAACAGCAACAGCACTGCCACCTATACCATCACCACAACCACCAGCAACAACAATTAAAGAAAAGGAGACCATGGATTTAAAAGAGAGCTTGGTAGGTACATGGAAGGATTTGGAAAGAGGACAAAGAAGGGGGAGGAAATGATAAAAGGAATGATATTATAGTTATAAAAATATAATTATTTTAAAAATACCAACATAAAAAACAGTGATGACAGCTGGGTGG